AAATTGTTTACGGTTTCAAAGTGATAGAAATGGTGTAGACAGAGAGACAGAAAAAAGCGTACAAGAAATGAGGAAAAAAGACATTACAAATGGCTAGAGAGAGAGAGAGAGAAACAGTTGAGGGGAAAAGTTGGGCAAAAAGGGTAAAAAAATTTTAGTGCATTGTGACATCATCAAAATGTAAGCATGATGTCATATGAATAGTAAAAAAGTTTATTCTTTTATATATTGTAAATGATCTAATTTCCAAACGGTTGAATGGATTGAACAAGAATTCGATCGAAAAGGAAAATTGTCAAAAATACAAGTGTGGCAATTGAGCTCCGTTTTAGTCCATAATACCATTTCGAAAAGAGAACTTCGATACGAGTAGAACTCACCACTATACTGTGACATATGGTGGATTTCGGCCATCCGAGTTCGTTTAGGACTTGAAAACTGTTTTTTAAGTTTTAGTGCTATTTTGTCATTTAGTTTATTTCGAATTCTTTGCAATTTTAGTTTGCTTTAATTAGGTTTTTACGTAAACCCTTATAAATAAATGGTTAATTCATCGTTTTTTTATCATCTTTCAAATAATAAAATTCGTGAGTTTTTTTTTTTTCATTATTGGTGGATTCCAAATTTCGCATTCTTAAGATTTTTTCATGAATTCATTTTCCACACTGATTCATATATATAGTAATTATTGTTCTGCAACTTGAATTTCTTATATATTTTGATTTGAGGTCGTAGGTATGTACTATTTTGCAATTCAACAATTTTCAAGATTCATACATTATAAAAGTTTTTATGGTATTTTTCATTTTTTAAGAAGAAAAACGAAATAATTTTTTTTCTTAAAATGCAAAATAAAAAACCAAAATAGAGAACATTATTGCAGTGTTTATAAAATTTTACTATCTAAATTTAAAGATAATCTTTATATATAGAGAAATTTTTTGGAGACGTTCCTACATTCACACCACTTTGTAGTAAAAAAAATTATATCCACACCACATATTTTGTTGACGAGGTCATATTTTAAACGTAATGCAGGTCGCCAATTTTTGCTTATTTTCGCACATTCTTCTCCCTTTTACGTGTAATGTTCTAATCCTTAACTTTCAATTCATTAGCATACTTTGAATGGGTGCTTATCCCTCACTTTCAATTCATTATCACATTTTATGAGTGTGTTTTGAAATGGGGCAATAATTTATTTAACTTTTCTATTTGTTTTTATTATTTAATTATTCGAGGGATAATTAAGTATGTTTATTTCCTTCTAGCATATTTTCTAGATGAAAATTGCCGTAAAAAAATACATGCTAATAAATAGAAAGTTACGGATAAGAACGAAACGAAAATAATTGAGACATAAGTGCGAAAATAATTGAAGATTGAAGTTAATATAAAATTTTTATTATCAATGTAATTTTTATTTGATAAAATTTATAAACTATTTATTCACGTTCAAATATTATATTTGACTACATAATTTAGCCTATGTTTGATAATTATTATTTTAATTTTTTTTATAGATATTCATTTTCAACAATACATTTACACAATAAAATATTATATACATAAATTCAAAGCTTCTTATTACATTTTAAACACATATTCTCCAAAAAATCACAATTCAAAATTTCATTTTATCCAAATAATGATTGTCAAACAGGGCTTAATGAATTTAGAAGAACTATCTATTTATCATCATTCATTTCAATTAATTTATTGATCATAAATTTTTTTTACCAAACATAGGCTAGTAAATTTGACAATTTCAAGAGAAACAAAATAAAATTGACAATATGTACATTGGTCATTGATGTGTTTGATGGATATTATTGAGAAAAAAATGTATTTTAAATATGATAGAAAATATGTGATTAAAAAATAAGAAAAAATTATTGATGTTATGTAAAATATCATTTTATTGAACAATGTGTGATTGGAAATGTATTATGAAATAATCTATTTTGGAAGAATGAACGTCAAACATGTGAAGAAAAATGTTATTCTAACTTCATGGAGGAAGGCTCCCTTGGGGTCAAAGGATGCACAGACCCTGGTCAATTTGGGCATATCCCGCGGTTAACCTTCACCTATCACCGAGGGGCCGATGATGGTTGGTCTAGGATATAGTTTGATGTAAATTAGAATACTTGGATATCAAAAAAAAAAAAAAAAAGTTATTCTTAATTTATGTTGTAATAGCATGATATTAAATGAAAAGTTCATTTAAATTTAAAATCACGTTACTCGTTTAATTACAGTTATAAAATATAGCCACCTAAATAGGTGTTTCAGTACCATTGGTGGTGCAAGAATACTAACTTGACGTCATGTCTCGAGCTAGGGTTCTTGAGCTCTTGCAAATTCCCAAAATATTTCAATAATTTAATACAGGATCCATCTTCTTCTCCAGTTACACTTTAAAAATAGGAAAAACGAAGCCATGGGACAAGTCAGGAAAAGACCCCAAGACGAGGATTCCTCTTCCTCCTCCTCCAAAATTGACCCCAACAATAAGCACTACCGCCGTCACAGCAGCCACTCTCCGTCATCCGCAACAAATGATTTTGGCCCCCGCCCTCATTACAATTCCCATCAACAAATAATGGGTAAGCGCTCAAAATTCATCTCATACCTTGAAGTCCCCTCTTTGACCCCCAAGGTGAAAATCCTTTGTGAAATCATATCTAACACTCCCTCTGCGAGTGTGGAGAAGTTGCTTGAAGATACGGGCATCCGGGTGTCACAAGAAGACGTAGAGGAGGTGCTCAAACTGTCATATGGGTTCGCGGGCCCGGCAGTGAAGTTCTTTCGATGGTCCGGGTTCCAGTTGAATGATAAGCACAGTCCGTATGCTTGGAACTTGGTTGTGGATTTGTTGGGCAAGAATGGTCTGTTTGATGCAATGTGGGATGCTATTAAGTCCATGAGGAAAGAAGGCTTGCTGTCGTTGGCTACCTTTGCGTCTGTTTTTAGTAGTTATGTGGTAGGGAATCGTGTACAGGATGCATTAATGACATTTGAGGTAATCGATCAGTATGGTGTGCCGAGGGATGTTGTGGCGTTGAATTCACTGCTGAGTGCAATTTGCAGAGAAGGGAAGACACCAGAGGCAAACGACTTTTTTGTTGTTGCAAGGAATACACTTAGGGTGGACGCGGATTCGTATGCAATTTTGTTGGAGGGGTTGGAAAACGAGGGTGATGTGGGTAGAGCTAGGCAGATTTTTTCGGAGATGGTGGCTGACATTGGCTGGGATCCAAGGAACGTGCCTGCTTATGATTCATTCCTGAGTACTCTGCTTAAGGGTCCTGAAGGTGTTCACGAGGCATTGAAATATTTAAATACAATGACAGTTAGGGGATGTTACCCTGGGATGAAATTCTTTAAGTTTGCAATTGATGTATGTGTGAGGAAGAGTGATGCAAAAGGAGCTACACTGCTTTTGGAGGCGATGGTTGGTAAAAATGTTTGTAGGCCAGATACAGGAATGTATAATTCATTGATTTCGTTGTATTGTAATCTCAAGGATTTTGATTTTGCTAAAAGTTTGTTAGATGAGATGGTTTATAATGGGGCTTTCCCTGATTCTGAAACTTACAACCTACTGTTTCACTTTTTAATTAGATGCAAAAGGCTGAGAGAGGCTACTCCAATCTTTAATGAGATGGTGAAAAATGAGTATGTGCCTATACTGGCAGACTGCAGTGCCGCAGTTAAGGCCTACATAGAAGTTAAGGATCCTCGTATGGCAATTAGGATATGGAGATGCATGGTTGAAAATTATAGTTCGGATTTGGAGGAAACCAGTAATTTGTTGGTTTTGGGGCTTCGAGACATCAATTGGGTTCCTGAAGCAGTTAAATTTGCTGAGGATGTGATAGAAAGAGGAATCAAGTTGAGCTCTGCGACACTGTCAAAGTTGAAACAAACCCTAGGTAAAGTGGGGAAGACATTTGTTTATGAGGAACTTCTGCAGAAGTGGAAAACACATTAGGTACTTTTGAGTTTGTTAATAATATACAGTCGCTGCATTAATGTACAGTTTATCTTCGTTTATGGCCTGCAAATTGTTTTTTTCCTGCTAACAGTGTTCTGTAAATATCGATAGATTGACTTTATATTTTCCTCTTGATCTATTCCATTTCATAATATCAAAATAACCTTTACCTTTAACTTATAACGTGCTGTGAAATAAAGTAGTTGCATATCAATTGCTAAAATGGATGCAGTAGCTAGCATAAGTTAAGCTTCGAATCTCTCTCTCTTGATTCACATGGTGCACCTCTCAAGTGTGTTCACAAGATTTATATTTGTTCAATTATAGAATGGAGTTACCATTGAGTTATAAGCTGCAATCACAGGGAATTGAACAAGGATCGCATGCACTGTTCTGATATATAATCATTTATTATTTATTAGGTGTCATCTATTTATTATTTTAATTTGGTACTTACAACATGGATGTTTGTCACAACCGTCACTTATATGATTGAGATCCAAGGTAGTGATATTTGCTAATTAAGTTTGCTGTAAGTATTCGTTCGCTGAGTCAGGCAGTACTAATTCGTTGTATTAGCAATCATGTCATCTCATTTTAATGGGGTAATTGATTAGAAAAAGCATAGTGGTCGGGATATCAGGATATTTTGTACTCTTAGCCAAAGGGTAGTTGTTTTCTTGCATCAGTGTTAGTTAATTAGATAAAATCCTCTTTTAGCTTCTTTTTTTGTGCATCAATTAATTTAGAATTTAGATCGAGTCAGAAGGAGTGTTGAAGGAGCATATTCTTCATATGTAGATGCCTTTTGTCAGATTCCACCTCGATGTGTTTAAATAGTATTGCTTGGCTATTTATCTATAATATATTAAATATCACATCAAGTGAGAATCATTTTTTGAACAATTATAACCCTACTGCCATTCAATTATTTCAATAATACTTTACTTTTCGTTTTTTAATACGTTTTTAATTTACAAACTGTAATAAATA